ATTCTCAATCTCTTAGTTGCGGTTAGATTCTATTTATAAAAAGTTTCATATTTTACACATTTTTTATTGGCATTTGTATTCGCTTTCTTATTTTCCTTTTTGATTTACTTCGAAAATAGGCGATTCTGAAACTCAGAAAATCGGTGGTTTTAGTTTTTCTCTGGCCGACACCTCCACTACTGTCTCCACTACCGACCCCTCAAATACAATCTCAATTGCTGCAGCTGCTACTACATGCATCACTGTGTCTAGCCCTTCAACCATCAGAGATGGCTTGCCGACCTTAGCCAAATCTAGTTTCTCCACGACTAGCGCTGATTCTGGCACTGTTAGCGGAGGTCTATTCTCTTTTACTTTGGCTGGAAGTGGCAATGCTTCCACTGTTATTCCACTCACAGGAGCGTCTCCTTTGTTCCCACCAGCTGCTTCGTCTGCAACTACTCCACAAACATCAGGTGGATCAATCCCTCAGCCGATTTCCACTTCTCCGTTTCGGCATGGACTTTTCAGTGGCTTTCTAATGCCAGGTTCACCTGTGGATAGCGCAAATGTGGCTGCATCTACCCAACAAATGCCTTTGACGTCGACGCAAGCAACAACTATTGTATCCTCTCCCATTATGAGCGTCAGCGAACCATTCTCTGGCCTTTTACGATCACCCTCAAGCCCAAGTTCAAATTCACCTGGCCTTTTCTCTATTACTTCATCAGCCATTACGCCAAACCCTCCAAACAGCAGCGCTCAGTCCATAGCAGGTGGTCTTTTCTCCTCGATTCCATCCCTTAACCCTATCGCTACACCACCATTCTCTTTTCCAACCATTTCCGCCACTCCTGCTACTACTATTACTGCTATTGCTTCATCACCTCAATCTGGTATCTTCGCAGGATCAACGAATATATTCAAGACTTTTACATCAGGCTCACAATCCACCCTTGCTCCTCCAACCGCAACTTCCGAAGTCTCCAATGTCGGATCTCTCTTTTCATCTGGACTAAATATTTCCGGTGCTCCTGCTCCGTGTACTGTTGGTAGTAGTACATCCGGTGGACTTTTTGGCCAATTGTCTACTGCTTTGTCTGTACCAGTATTAGGAACGACAACTTCTCTTTCACCTGCACTCAGTAGTGGTCTTTTTGGAGTGCCAAACGAGTCTCTTGGAAAGCCAGTCGGAGAAGGTGCATAATAATATAATTCATGCCAATAGTATTTTATTGAAGGCAGTTAAGGTTCAAAACTATTAATACATTTATTTAGACTGTTTTGAATGATCTGAGGCCTGATGATTAAGTTGGACAAGATTAAAACGATACTTTAATGGGTGCTGATGGGAATGAAGTGATAAAACTATATTATATGTCCCAAAATCACCTTAAGCGATCCAAGGTAACTAATCTCCTATTTAAAAATTCCTATATTCAAATATAGCAGGTTTTCAAGTATATCAGTAAACCTGGAACAAGAGTTCTAATCATCTTAATTCTCAAGCCGATAAAGTTCTCTTTCCCACAATGATTTGAAGTACAGTGCAAAGGTATTTATATCCG